TTAAAATCACCAGACCTAAAGACTTAATACAATGGATGCTATTAGGACTTGACAGCTAACAGCATTAGCATTTTTGGCCAAACTATTCTTTTAAATGAGCTAATTTGGGCCTCATTTATTTGAGCTTGGTGGCTACATTTAAAATCATACGGGGTCTACTTAGTTGGATTTAACTGAACTGCACTGTTTACTGTAATATTTTCTTCAAGGCTTTTGCCTGTAGGAATCACACATCATTTCTCAGTGATCTATGCCGCCCGCTGTGCCAAAAGAATCTCGTCACATGAAAACATTTTCCTTCAAGCTCCGTTGAAAGTTAACGACTGCAGCGCAGCATTCCTCGCTCTTTATTTGTTGGGGCTTAAAGCGAAATGTAACCATAGTGACTGTTAACCATTCCAGAAATGCCTGGTCCCCTGCCTGACACAACACCTCCAGTGAGTGAGAGTGAAGGCCTCAAACTCCTGATGATAAAAACAGACAGAACAACAACACAGCACAAACCGATAGTTCACTGATTTCCCACAGCGCTGCACAGCTTTCATCCAAAAACTTATCAGAGCAAATGAGAAAATCTGTTCCTTTCTGTTCTGCATCACACACAGAGCACGGAAACACAATATTCATCACAAACACATGGTTATCATTAACATTCCTCTCTCTCTCCCTCCCTCTCTCTCTCTCTCTCTCTCTCTCTCTCTCGGCTTTCTATCGTGTACTCCTTGAGATGTGTCTGCACACACAAGAGGCACCTATATGATAATAATAGGTCCCATATATATTATATATACTTATTACCTGTATGTAATATGTCCCATATGCACTATATATACGTATTACCTGTATGTAGTATGTCCCATATGCAATATATATACTTATTACCTGTATGTAGTATGTCCCATATGCATTATATATACTTATTACCTGTATGTAGTATGTCCCATATGCATTATATATACGTATTACCTGTATGTAGTATGTCCCATATGCAATATATATACTTATTACCTGTATGTAGTATGTCCCATATGCATTATATATACTTATTACCTGTATGTAGTATGTCCCATATGCATTATATATACGTATTACCTGTATGTAGTATGTCCCATATGCAATATATATACTTATTACCTGTATGTAGTATGTCCCATATGCATTATATATACTTATTACCTGTATGTAGTATGTCCCATATGCATTATATACTTATTACCTGTATGTAGTATGTCCCATATGCATTATATATACTTATTACCTGTATGTAGTATATCACTTATGTATTATATATATTTTATTACCTGTAAGTATTATGTACCATATGCATTATATATACTTATTACCTGTATGTAGTATGTCCCATATGCATTATATATACTTATTACCTGTATGTAGTATGTCCCATATGCATTATATATATATATATTACCTGTATGTAGTATGTCCCATATGCATTATATATATACGTATTACCTGTATGTAGTATGTCCCATATGCATTATATATACTTATTACCTGTATGTAGTATGTCCCATATGCATTATATATACTTATTACCTGTATGTAGTATGTCCCATATGCATTATATATACGTATTACCTGTATGTAGTATGTCCCATATGCATTATATATACTTATTACCAGTATGTAGTATGTCCCATATGCATTATATATACTTATTACCTGTATGTAGTATGTCCCATATGCAATATATATACTTATCACCTGTATGTAGTATGTCCCATATGCAATATATATACTTATTACCTGTATGTAGTATGTCCCATATGCATTATATATACTTATTACCTGTATGTAGTATGTCCCATATGCATTATATATACGTATTACCTGTATGTAGTATATCCCATATGCAATATATATACTTATTACCTGTATGTAGTATATCCCATATGCATTATATATACTTATTACCTGTATGTAGTATGTCCCATATGCATTATATATACTTATTACCTGTATGTAGTATGTCCCATATGCATTATATATACTTATTACCTGTATGTAGTATATCACTTATGTATTATATATATTTTATTACCTGTAAGTATTATGTACCATATGTATTATATATACTTATTACCTGTATGTAGTATGTCCCATATGTATCATATACTTATTACTTATATGTAGTATGTTCCATATGCAATATATATGTTTATTACCTGTATGTAATAAGTCTTAAATGTATTATATATATTTTATTACCTGTATGTAATAAGTCTCAAATGTATTATATGTATTTTATTACCTGTATGTAATAAGTCTCAAATGTATTATATATATTTTATTACCTGTATGTAATAAGTCTTAAATGTATTATATGTATTTTATTACCTGTATGTAATAAGTCTCAAATGTATTATATATATTTTATTACCTGTATGTAATAAGTCTCAAATGTATTGTATGTATTTTATTACCTGTATGTAATATGTCCCATATGTATTATATATTTTACCTTTATGTAAGCCACTTATCCTCCTGGGTCACGGGTGATGCTAGAGCCTATCCCAGCACTCATTGGGCAGAGGGAATTTATTGCATATGTAAAATGTAATAACATTATTATTATGTAATTTGAATTATGTAACTTGTTGTAACACTTTATAAGGAACACCTCCTTGTTTCTACATTCATTGTCCATTTTATCAGCTCCACTTACTATATAGGAGCACTTTGTAGTTCTACAGTTACAGACTGTAGTCCATCTGTTTCTCTGATACTTTCTCACCCTGTTCTTCAGTGGTCAGGACCCCCACAGGACCCCCACAGAGCAGGTACTATTTGGGTGGTGGGTCATTCTCAGCACTGCAGTGACACTGACGTGCTGGTGGTGTGTTAGTGTGTGTTGTGCTGGTGTGAGTGGATCAGACACAGCAGTGCTGCCTAATGTATATATATGCAAACATCTCAATGTAATAAGAGCTTTCTGAGTGTAGTCTTAATCCTAACCTCAGGAACCAAAAAAAATATTGTGTTGCTTGTTCAGTGTTATGAAATGAAAACATGGAACCCTTTACAAAGTCCGGGGCATCTTGTTGGCCTTGTAGGTCAGTCCTGTTTTATCTGGTTTTATTACAAAAGACTGGACATTTCTGTAAATATAAGAAAACAAGCACACACATGCACACCATGGAGTGTTTGGGATTAATGCTGTCCATTTAAAGTCATACAAAGATATACATATGGACAACGGAATGCCCATTCGATACATTAGACAAACATCAGCATACACAGCTTGATATTTACCATCATTGGTGGACGAAGTACACAAACCATGTACTGGAGTTAAAGTAGAGATACTCAAGGTAAAATATTACTCCAGTAAAAGTAGAAGTTCCTCCCTTTAGACCTCCACTTGAGTAAAAGTACAGAAGTATTTGCCTTCAAATGTGCTTAAGTATCAGAAGTAAAAGTACTAAAAGATTAATTATGACTTTAATGTCCTGTTATCATTTTTATAACAAGACTCGCTTCATTAACTCATTGTAGGTGAAAATACTCCAGTGTCTCTCTTGGTAAACCAGTCTTTTAATAGAATGTCATTAATTAGTGACGCTGATGTCTATTAAAATTATCATAAGCAGGCGCCAGTACAGCAACCAAAACCCCAATGCGTTATGGCAGCCCCCCTACAGTTAGCCCACTTTATCCTCCAAATATTACGACTTTTTTCTCTAAATATTACGACTTTATTCTCTATAAGTCTACTATTTTTATTTTTATGAACAGTGGCCCTAAAATGCCATCGTAGAACCGTATGCTTGCACTGGGTCGGTATGTCCAACAGGTCAAAACAAGCTCAAAACAAAGTGACCGCTGTGCCCTGATTGGTGTTTTTGCTTTGCTCTTCTTTCGTTTTGACATGTTACGTTTTTATTCACACATAAACCAAAAGGAACGACAGATTTCTCATAATGTAGTGGAGTAAAAAGTGAGATATTTGACTTTGAAATGTAGTGGAGTGAAAGTAAAAAGTCTCCCAAAATGGAAAAACTTCAGTAAAGTACAGAAAAAACTACTTAAGTACAGTAATGAATTACATAGACTTAGTTACTGTCCACCACTGTTTACCATCTCACTTAGTTCTGCAATCATGTCCATGTTTACATTACAACAACAGGTGGAATGGTATGTAAATGTGTGTAATCCAGGTCTAAGATCATTCTAAACTCACATTCAGCAGACAGAAGGGAGAGTGAAGACCGAGCTGGGTGTGATTATCTGCGATATTGTTTATTGTTTCTGTAAAGCTCTGGGAACATGTGTGACCGGATAGCATGTTTCACATGACTCAGTCACTGATGATGTCAACGAGAGTGAATTTACTGAAGAAAATCTGAACATCTGCTAAAATCTTCAGCACATTTATCATTACATGTGATTTTTAGTGCAACTGCTGCTACAAAAACCCCAAACTATAATTTGTGGTGTAAACTCTGAAAAAAGATGGTAAAGAGGGTTCTTTAGTTAAGAAAATGGTTCTAAATAGAACCATGAACACTCAAAGAGCCCACTCGATGAGTTCTGTGCATCGTGAAATGTGCTGTACATGGTTCTATATAGAACCTTTTTGAATAATGTTCTATATAGCACTAAAAAGGGTTCTTGTATTGTTACAATGTCAAGCTTGTTACAACAGACTGAATGTGTTGGTACATGATTGTGTGAATGTATATGATGGTGAGTCATTGCAATTGTGTGCACACACTTAAAAATGATCGTTCTTGTGGGGTTCTTTAGTAGAGAAATTGTGCTATATAGCACCAAAAAGCGTTCTTCTATTGTTACCATTGAAATAGAAGAACCCCTTTCGGTACTATATAGAACCATTTCAAAATGATTCTATAAACAAGCATTTATAACATATTGTCTATCAATCTGAAGAACCTTTTCACAATGCAAAGATCCATTTAATCAGGCAGATGGTTTTTTGAGTGTTCATGGTTCTATATAGAACCATTTTTCTTCCATTTTTTACCAGACCAGTGTTATTTTAAGTGTGATAGTAACAAACAAACACATCTTATATAATGAACATGTTTAGGTCAGCGTCATCATGTGACATACAGCCCTGAGGAGCTGGAGAGAGGGTCTGACTGTGCCGCACCTCCAGCCATGCTTTAGAACCAATCAATTAATCCACATTTCCTCAACTAACCACATTAAGAATGATCCTCTGGCCATCACAGGGTCACTGGAAGTAGCCCTGAGTCTCAGACAGTGGACGGGAGATGTTATGGAAGGCCCACTGCAGGATCCCATCAATCGAGCTCTGGAAGAACCCCACAAAACACACACAAACAGAGATAAGAGATGGGATAGCTGACTACACTGGCCACTTTATCAGAAACCCCTCTGTTGTAGCTCCACCTTGCTGGTGTGCAGCTAGAGACTGTAGCCCATCGGCTGATGCCATCTTCCTTCATCAGTGGCCAGTTTCTGACCACAGAACTGCTCTTGGCTTGTGGCCCACTCAACCTATCAATCACACTGACATACAAGATTTAATGTGTGTGTCTCTAATAAAGTGGCCAGTGAGTGGAAGTACAAGGTAGGTGTTTCTAATAAAGTGGCCAGTTAGTGGAAGCACAAAGTAGGTGTTTCTAATAAAGTGGCCAGTTGGTGGAAACACAAGGTAGATGTTTCTAATAAAGTGGCCAGTTAGTAGAAACACAAGGTGAGTGTTTCTGATAAAGTGGCCAGTTAGTGGAAGCACAAGGTAGGTGTTTCTAATAAAGTGGCCAGTTAGTGGAAGCACAAAGTAGGTGTTTCTAATAAAGTGGCCAGTTGGTGGAAACACAAGGTAGATGTTTCTAATAAAGTGGCCAGTTAGTAGAAACACAGGGTGAGTGTTTCTGATAAAGTAGCCAGTTAGTGGAAGCTAAAGGTAAGTGTTTCTAATAAAGTGGCCAGTGAGTGGAAGCACAAGGTAGGTGTTTCTGATAAAGTGGCCAGTTAATGGAAGTGAAAGATAGGTGTTTCTGATAAAGTGGCCAGTTAGTGGAAGCACAAGGTAGGTGTTTCTAATAAAGTGGCCAGTGAGTGGAAGCACAAGGTGAGTGTTTCTAATAAAGTGACCAGTGAGTGGAAGTGAAAGGTAGGTGTTTCTAATAAAGTGACCAGTTAATGGAGGTGAAAGGTAGGTGTTTCTAATAAAATGGCAAGTTAGGGGAAACACAAGGTAGGCGTTTCTAATAAAGTGGCCAGTGAGCGGAAGCTCAGGGTATGTGTTTCTGATAGAGTTACTAATGATGGATGGAAGCCAAAAGGGTCCGAGACCTATGCTAACTGCTAACTGCCGGCTTTCATATTGTGTTGGCTTCCACTCATTGCTAACATTAGCACTATTAGCCAGACTAACCCTTTACATTAGCTCATATTCATATTTGAGCCTGGTTTATCCCGAATGAGAGCACATGTAGGCTTTTCTGTGTGTGTTTTCTCAGGTGTTGGTAAATTTGAGTACATGAGCGCATCTACCTCCCCCATGAAGGAGTCCATCTCCTCTTTATTAATGATCTGCTGCTCAGAGTGAGCCGGACCCTGGTCACCAGGACGCTGAGACACCTGAGGACAGAGCAACAGCAGACAAGAGACACACATGAAAGGTTTTAGGGGAGGAAAATGTTTTCAGGTATGTATTAATGGGCGACTCATTTATTTCAGAAAACAAGCATTGCTTAACGTATCGCTGCTGTCGGAAGAAAACCTTGTATCTCTAAAATGACAACTTTATAGAAAAAGGAAAAAACCTACGTTACTATTAATGTAAGTCAATGGAACCAGACATTTTTCCAAGTCATTTTGGGCCGTTTCTTTTGCTCCATACATCATGAAATTTACACTCAATGCAAAGGCCAACAGGTATTTTCAAATTATGTCAAAAACTGAAAAAGGGCAAAAATGAAGATACAGGGTTTTCTCCTGACATCAGCAATATATACAATAGAAAACAATCTAAGCAAATTTATTTAATAATCATAATTAACTCATAATAACTGCTCTGTTGTCCTCTTTGTCAGGCCGCATTCACAAGATATTTTAGTGTCTGCCAAAAAAGACGCATGTTTTGTTCGCTGTGGGGGTGTTTATGGACGGATACTGAAGTGGGAAACTCATTCAAATATGAAAACTTATGAACAAAACTTATCTTTTATAAAATAAAGAAAAAAGAAGTGCATGTGCTTCAACTCCAGCCAGTCACTGTCGTACAGTATCTTCAGAGCTGAATTTTGTTTTCAGTTTTGTATAGAACTGACCAAATGAAGCCCCGCCCCCTACTGCCTCCTACTGGCTGACGCACGGTACACTCAAAGGTTCAGCTCTGATGACCTTTTAAATGAATCATAGCACAAATTTTTCAATCACTCTCATGCGCTCATGTCTGCTATCTGTAAACACATCATTTAATTTACATCATGGACATTTTTTATGGATTCCCAAAATGCCCCCTTCGTCTATGTCATTGTGCTTAATAACTACAAGTGCTATAGTGCTTAAAATAATGTGTTATAGTCCCTACACTGTAAAAATGATGTCTTAGTGAGTGTAAACATCTTAAATGTAGTCAATATATCTACTATTTCTCATTATGAGACTGTTGTAAGAATATTGTGAGATTATTTAACTTATTTCTAGACATTTTTACTTGTTTTTAAGCAGTTTTATCTTATAAAAGTGTCTTATTTCATTGGCAGATCATGTTTCTTGTTTTAATCATTATTTCTTGAAATGAGCAAAATTATCTTCATTGTTTCTCCAAACAAGTAAACTAATCTGCCAATGGAATAAGACACTTTCACCAGATAAAATCACTTAAAACAAGTAAAAATGTACAGAAACAGGTGGAATAATCTCATAATATTCTTACAACAGACTCATAATGAGGAATGTTTTTTGTGAAATGAAAGGTTAAATTAATGCATAAATAAAAAAAAATAACTAAATGTGTGTGTGTGTGTGTGTGTGTGTGTGTGTGTGTGTGTGTGTGTGTGTGTGTGTGTGTGTACCTGCACAGTCCTGGATGGTGTCTCACTCTCTGCTGACCCCCACATCCTGGAGCAGGTTCTGCATCTAGATCTCCCACTGAGAAAAAACATCCATTCTTTTATTTCAGTCACCTAAAGACTCTGAATCAGACACTTTATTATCACACACAGCAAAAAATAATATCTTAACAAGTGAGAACTTCTTAAATGTAGTCAATAAATCTAATATCCCTCATTATGAGTCTGTTGTAAGAATATTATAAGATTATTCCACCTGTTTCTGTACATTTTTACTTGTTTTAAGTGATTTTATCTGGTGAAAGTGTCTTATTCCATTGGCAGATTAGTTTACTTGTTTGGAGAAATAATGAAGATAATTTTGCTCATTTCAAGAAATAATGATTAAAACAAGTAACATGATCTGACAATGAAATAAGACACTTTTATAAGATAAAACTGCTTAAAAACAAGTAAAAATGTCTAGAAATAAATTAAATAATCTCACAATATTCTTACAACAGTCTCATAATGAGAAATAGTAGATATATTGACTACATTTAAGATGTTTACACTTGCTAAGATATCACTTTTTGCACTTTATAACTCCCTCTGAAACCTTTAACCCTTATTTAAATATTTCAGGTTACTAGTAACCAATGACCTCATCTCTCCTCCCAGTCAGAGATATAATCCAATTCTCAAACTCTTGGATCTTGGATCTGGACTTCCCTTAAAAAGAGTGTTTAGTAAGTAGTCTCACTTTGGGAAGTTGCAGTGTAGATGGTAGCTCTGCAGGCACTGAGGGCAGATGAGCAGCTCTCCACGGGTGAGATGGCAAATCCCACAGGGGGTCCTAATGCCCGCCAGGTCAGGGTCTGCAGACTGGAAATAATAAAAATCTCAATCCATACAATTCTGTGCTGCTCATCCAGTACATTCAGTTCAGTTACCATAAATCAGCTAAATCTAAACAGCATTCTTTAGTAGGTTAAAGGGCCCATATCTTACTTTTTATTGTTTATTGCATTTTATTGTTTCCCCTGAAGTCATTTTATAATGCCTGTGTGGGTTTTTGTACCAGAAACAGTCATAATTCGTTATTACATGGCCGTTTTCTGACCTCTCCTTATTCCCCTAGAATTAAACAGGCTGTTTTTGTTTCAAGACTGATATATCGCTACTGTCGGAACAAAACCTCGTATCTCCATTTTTGTCGTTTTTCAGTTTTTGGAATAATTTGAAAATGCTCATAGGCCTTTACATTGTCTGTAAATTTCATGATGAATGGACCAACAGAAATGGCCCAGAATTACTTGGAAAAAAGTCTGGTTCCATTGACTTACATTAAAAGTAGAGTATGTTTTTTCCTTCTCCTGTAAAGTTCCCATTTTGGAGATATGAGATTTTGTTCCAGCAGCAGTGATGTGCAAATAAACTCTTCTCTGAATGGCTGCCCTGTATTGTGCCTCATTCACAAAGCAGTCTGGGTTGAAACTCTTCTTATAACCTCTATATAAATGGGTGGAGATAAACTGCTAAATATGTGGATATATGTAAATGAGTTTGTTCTTGTGGCCTCACAGAAACAGCAACTTCAAAAAAAGGCTGTTGTTTGAAGTCCCTGTATGGACTGTATGGACTGTGTGAGTGAATGGGATGCTTTGAAACTTCACATTAAACTTTATTTGAAATAAAAGTGAGGGAATTTCGGCTGTTCATAGCTGAAGTTACAAGGAGTGTTTTAGTCCGGACTGCTTTTTGAATACAAGGCTACCCATCAGAACACAGCTCGTTTACATATATCACTCTTAAAGGGACAGCAACAAAAACAGCTTGTTTAATTCTAAGGAATAAAGAGAGGATGGAAATAGTCATGTAAGCGAATTAGTTTTGTACACATAAAAGTACACAAATGTAACAAATAGGCCTCAGCGGGAGAAAATAAAATGCAAGAAAAATTTTGTAGTATTTGGTGGTGTGTCCCCCTTTTACTTAAATGGCTTAAGCCTCTGAGGACCAGATCAAATCCACCTGAGGGTTGTCTGAACACACACGTCAGTGGAAAAGACATAAGACCAAAAAAACCTGACCTTTTAGTTCTAAGGCTTAAAGGGGAATTCCATCAAATTTTCAAAATTTCTGCATAAATCAGTTATTGAGATGTAAAGAAAGTCATTAGAGTGGTTCGGTGTGAAATGGTTAATTGTAGAGAAACTTGCTAACTCCACACAAATGTCATAAGTGGACCTGAGGGGCAAGAATAAAATGCAAGAAAAATGTAGGATTTGGACCCTTTAATCTTAGAAACATTTATATGAATTTCCGAATTTCTTAGTATTTGGTGGTGAGTCCCCTTCTGCTTTAATGACAGTGAGCAGATCACATCCACCTGAGAGTCGTCTGATCATCATTTTTATTCAAAAGACATAAGACAAAAAAAAAAGATCTTTAAGTACAAAGGCCTTAAAGGGGAATTCAATCAAATTTTCAAAATTTCTGCATAAATCAGTTTTTTGAGATGTAAAGAAAGTCAATAAAGTGGTTTGGGGTGAAACGCTTCATTGTAGAGAAACTTACAGACTGTTGAAACCACATGAAAACACACAAATGTCATAAGTGGACCTCAGGGGGGAAATAAATTGAAGAAAAATGTAAAATACAGGCCCTTTTTGAGAAGCTAAGTGCCCCGACACTTTGACCTGTAGCGTTTACTCATCCATGCTGGTGTAACACTGGGGGTTTGTTTATATCTGGTACCTGGAATCCTGCAGGCTGTGTGCTCTTGCTGCCTGTGACTGCAGAGAGAGACGTGGAGGAGAAGAAAGAGAAGTCCACCGTGGAGCTGGAGCTGCTCTCAGTCAGAGGAGTGTGAACTGGAGGCTGAGGGACGATTAATAGGATCAATATTACTCTTTCATACACACAGGATAATTCTACATTTAGAGTCGGTTATTCATTCAACCTAACGAGAAACTGTAGAACAGACTCAGTTTATATCACAATACCTACATTTAGAGTCGGTTATTCATTCAACCTAACGAGAAACTGTAGAACAGACTCAGTTTATATCACAATACCTACATTTAGAGTCGGTTATTCATTCAGCCTAACGAGAAACCGTAGAACAGACTCAGTTTATATCACAATACCTACATTTAGAGTCGGTTATTCATTCAACCTAATGAGAAACTGTAGAACAGACTCAGTTTATATCACAATACCTACATTTAGAGTCGGTTATTCATTCAGCCTAACGAGAAACTGTAGAACAGACTCAGTTTATATCACAATACCTACATTTAGAGTCGGTTATTCATTCAGCCTAATGAGAAACTGTAGAACAGACTCAGTTTATATCACAATACCTACATTTAGAGTCAGTTATTCATTCAGCCTAATGAGAAACTGTAGAACAGACTCAGTTTATATCGCAGTACCTACATTTAGAGTCAGTTATTCATTCAGCCTAATGAGAAACTGTAGAACAGACTCAGTTTATATCGCAGTACCTATAATATGAACGATGTGATGCAGTTCTAGTGAAACATTTGTTACTGTGAGATTACTGCTGGCTTCTAAACGCACCTGCAGAGGCGTGTATGTCTTCTCCACCATCGATCGGCTTCCGTTACAGAACTTACAGCGCCAAGTACCGCTAAAGAAAACATACAGAACAGTCTGTTAAAGCAATAGAGCAGTGCTAATTGGTGGTGTATAGACATCTATTACTAGTCTATATTAGCCTTGTATTGCAAAACTAATGAAGATAACTGAAGATATCAAAGATGTCTTGGCTGATCAAGTACATTTGGAGTAAGAGGGCAAAACTGTGTAAATCTGATTTTTCACTGAAGTATTTCTTTAATCTGTGCACAGATTAAAAGGAGAATCCCACCAAATTTCCGAAATTTCTGTATAATTCAGTACTTGTGACATAAACAGTTGTTCAGAGTGGTTTGGTGTGAAATGGTTGATTGTAGAGACTCAGATTTCTTTACAGTGGTGGTGATAGGAACCAGGGGTCGCCATGACTACAACACTAATATAGACATTTTATTTACTATCCAGAAACCACCAGTGAACCTACACGAGTCTTCTGAGTTTATATGGAATGTTGATGATGATAATGATAAAATTGAAGTAATGAATAAATAGCTTAAAGAAAATATCAAACCTACTGTGAAACAGTGTCTCAGGCATCAGGCAGTGAATTCATAACCATTTCATGTAGTAACTTTCTGTGAGGGAGCTTTTAGCGGTGGACGTCTGGTTCCTATCACCACCACTGTGAACAGTTCTGACTCTGTAAGTTTCTCTAGAACAGAGCGTTTCACACCAAACCACTCTGAACGACTCTGTTTACATCTTAACCATTTAATTATGCAGAAATTTTAAAAAAAAAGGGTGGAATTCCCCTTTAAATGAAGGTTCCCTATTCGGTGTGGTTCAGTCTGCAGTATGGAGGTGAAGTGTTTGACAGCTGTTACAAACCTGGGTATGGAGGTGAGTGGAGGCACCAGGCAGTTGAGGTGGAAAGCGCGAGGACATCCATCACAACAAATCAACTCTCCTCCATCTTTACACACCGAACACTCGTCATCATTACGCTCCACCTGAAGGTGCACACACGACATGGAGATTGGATGGATTCATATTCAGACACAAACACAATAGACCATTTGAATGTTTGACACCTCCCAGCCAATCACAACTGTCTCTAAGCATTATAACCTCTGTCAAGTGAAGGAGAACAAACCTGCAGTGAGAACGGCAGTGGCAGCAAATGAGTATTATTCAGAATGAGGAAAGTAAGAAATGTTGGAATGGCGTTAGTGAGGAACGTATAACGCTTGACTCACATTATCCTGATCATCTGGAGGGTGGAGCTGCTTTTATTTGATGCCTGAGGTTTTGGGTTTAATAGCTCAACGTCAAAACTACTAACAAAGAGACTTACGCTGGCTCTAAGGCAGTATGAGGACTAACGATAAATAATGTTAACATGTTTATGTTAAAGGTGCCACAGAACGGAAACGTTTTACTTCGGCTCAGTTGAATAAGGAGAGTTTGGTGTATGAAATAATGATTAAAACAAGGAACATGATCTGACAATGAAATAAGACACTTTTATAAGATAAAACTGTTTAAAAACAAGTAAAAATGTCTAGAAATAAATTAAATAATCTCACAATATTCTTACAACAGTCTCATAATGAGAAACAGTAGATATTTTGACTACATTTAACATGTTTACACTCACTAAAATATCATTTTTTTGCAGTGTTTGCACTAGAATGTCTGTTTAAACTTAAAATCAGAAATAAAAGTAAAGAAAAGAAAAAAATCACATTGCAACAAATAATATATTAGTATAATTCTAAGTGAAAGCATATTAAACGCAGGTAATATTTCTCGTTATGTGACTGCTGTAAGAACATCATATTATTTTTGCTACACTGGCAAATAATTTCACTTTATTCAAGCATAATTCCCAAAACAAGCAAAATAATCTATTAATGTACTCAAATAAATTTACTTGGTAAAATTACTTTAGTGAACATGTCTGGAAACATGTTGAATAATCTTATAATATTCTTACAGCAATATTACAGTGAGAAAAATTAGCGATATTGCCTACATTTATAGATGAATTCTACTGATTTTCCAAAATTTCTGCCGAATTCAGTGAATAAGATGTAAACAGAGAGATTCAGAGTGGTTTGGTATGAAATGGTTCAGATGTCTTTACAGTGGTGGTGATAGGAACCAGGGGTCGCCATGACTACAACACAAATGTAGACATTTTATTTACTATCCAAAACCACCAGTGAACCTACACGAGTCGTCTGAGTGTTTACATGAAATGTTGACGATGGAAAAATATCGATAAATCTGGAAAAATAAGTTTTTGTTGGGAACTATTCTGCCTCACAACACCCTGCATGTATCCCTCCGTTATGAATGAATGTTTAGGCCAAAAGTTTTCAAAATGATCATAAAACAGTGTCTCAGACATCGGGCAGTGAATTCATAACCATCTCATGTAGTAACTTTCTGTGAGGGAGCTTTTAGGAGGTGGACGTCTGGTTCCTATCACCACCACTGTGAACAGCTCTGACTTGGTAAGTTTCTCTAGAACAGAGCGTTTCACACCAAACCACTCTGAACGACTCTGTTTACACCTTAACTCTATAATTAAGCAGAAATTTCCCTTTAAGATGCTTTCACTTGCCAAGCCATTATTTGAAGGCAACTGCAGAGAGGAAAGTGATGGATTATAAACTCAGCCTGCTCCACGCACATCCACAGCTCTGGTGTTTGGCTCCCCCTGCTGGTGACCCTCACTTTGCACTGTCTGTGGGATGTGAGTGCTGGCTGTCTCCTCCAGCTTTCCAGAGGAATAAAACTCTCCTCCAACTTTAATACACTTCTTAGCCCCTCCTGTAAGAGAAAAGCCACTTTAGATTCCTCCAGTGCTGACAGGAGCTGACAGAGTGAATATAAGTCAAAGCTACGCAGCCACAACAGTGATCCTCGTCACAGGACCAGGCTGCCCTTTCTGAAAGATTCACAGCACAGCAGACTGAGACAACACACAAAGCAATATTTCTCTACCAGCACTGCAAAAAAATAATATCTTAACAAGTGAAAACTTCTTAAATGTAGTCAGTAAATCTAATATCTCTCATTATGAGTCTGTTGTAAGAATATTATAAGATTATTCCACCTGTTTCTGTACATTTTTACTTGTTTTAAGTGATTTTATCTGGTGAAAGTGTCTTATTCCATTGGCAGATTAGTTTACTTGTTTAGAGAAATAATGAAGATAATTTTGCTCATTTCAAGAAATAATGATTAAAACAAGTAACATGATCTGCCAATGAAATAAGACACTTTTATAAGATAAAACTGCTTAAAAACAAGTAAAAATGTCTAGAAATAGTTAAATAATCTCACAATATACACGAAATTAGATATATTGACTTTCACTCACTAGGATATCATTTTTGCAGTGTAGTATAATATGTAAAAAATGATTTTCTTTCTTTTTGGAAATAAAAATGTAAATCTAGTATGTAAACATTATTAAAGTTTCAAAACATCACTAAATGGAAACTAAAACAGCCTGTTAAAATTTCATTGTTTCTTTTATGTCACACAACCTGTGTTTTTTGCATATCTCCCTATTTAGTTTAGCTCCGCCCATCCACGCTGAAGTTATAAGGAGTGTCTGAACCGTTTTAATGGGTTTTTTAATGCTTGTAAGTGTCGTATTCATACAGCCTTATATACATTTCACATAATTGTCAGATATATCTATCTATCTCAAGGTGCAATAGAAATATAAACGTTGATGATGATGTCATGATCTTACCAGACTCGATGACCTGCTGGATGAGAATTTCCTCCACCTTCCCACAGCCTGCAGGAAGTTCACCAGCGGTCAGTGTCACAGCCCGCTGGACCGAGGCGGACACAGACTGCACGCCTGCACAAAGGCAGCACAATAACGACGAACATACAGTTCATTTACATAGACTTTCAAAACAGATGTGATAAAAACAGCATAGTGTGCTATTTTTACACCACATCTGGGTGTCCCGATAAGAACAACACACTCTGTGCTACTTTTAGCAAACTTTTTATTCAAGTTGTTTTACATAAAGATGTGCTGTAGTCACTGCTCTGTTCTTGCTAAAATAATAAATAATAAAACACAAAAAGTGTGTTGTTAGTTAATATCAGATTTGTAAGAGTGCAGCACATTTTCAAAACAAGTATGCAAGTTTTACAGAAAGGCTGAGAAACAGAAAAAAAAAAACAATAAACAATAACAAAAAGCACAGCAAGTACAAACAGCTACACTGCAAAAATGATATCCCAGTGAGTGTAAACATGTTAAATGTAGTCTATATATCTAATATTTCTCATTATGAGACTGTCGTAAGAATATTGTGAGATTATTTAACTTATTTCTTATTTGTTTTTAAGCAGTTTTATCTTATAAAAGTGTCTTATTTCATTGTCAGATCATGTTCCTTGTTTTAATCATTATTTCTTGAAATGAGCAAAATTATCTTCATTATTTCTGTAAACAAGTAAACTAATCTGCCAATGGAATAAGACACTTTCACCAGATAAAATCACTTAAAACAAGTAAAAATGTACAGAAACAGGTGGAATAATCTTATAATATTCTTACAACAGACTCATAATGAGAGATATTAGATTTATTGACTACATTTTAAGACGTTTTCACTTGTTAAGATATCATTTTTTGCAGTGTACAGCATAAAACATTTTACCTTTGCTCACTGAAACCTGAGAGAGAGACGTGCTGTCTGTCTTCCTCACAGGCTTTCCTTTTCCCCCTAAAACATTGCAATGCAGTTATTTCTATTTAAGATACTCAATTTTCCCATTTTAACTTACCCCACACTGTAAATTATATCAAAGTGAGTGTAAACATCTCAAATGTAGTCAATAAATCTAATATTTCTCTTCTGAGACTGTTGTAAGAATATTGTGAGATTATTTAACTTATTTCTAGACATTTTTACTTGTTTTTAAGCAGTTTTATCTTATAAAAGTGTCTTATTTCATTGGCAGATCATGTTACTTGTTTTAATTATTTCTCTAAACATGTAAACTAATCTGCCAATGGAATAAGACACTTTCGCCAGATAAAATCACTTAAAACAAGTAAAAATGTACAGAAACAGGTGGAATAATCTTATAATATTCTTACAACAGACTCATAATGAGAAATATTAGATTTATTGACTACGTTTAAGAGGTTTTTAATTTAAGATATTACGTTTTACAGTGTAAATGATAACATTGTCAGAAACCACTTAATCAAGTCTATGAGAGAATTAACTGTAGAATTAACTGCAGTTTGGGCCGAGTGTGTGATGATTTAGGCCTATGCTAATTGGTGGGGTATGAGTTTCCATTACTTGTTAGCTACATTAGCCCCGTAGCTCTGGTGTAAAACTAAAGAAGCAAACTTCAGACATCAAAACTTCCTTGGCTGATTGACTACATTTGGTGTAAAATGTGAAATTGTGTAAATTTGATCATTTTTTCAGAACTATCGCTTTAAGGCAGGTGATCCTGCTGCAAATCCATGTTTGCCCAGATCCACTACACCTCACTGAGCACAGCAAGGCCTATCAATACCTGAATCAAGGTCTGTTAGAGCATGAAAACCATGGACCTGTGAAGTGACTGTGTCTCATGCAGTGAGTGATATTATTGAGTATGAGGTGCAGTTGGGTCGGTGTTGGTACCTGAGCTGGGCTGCAGCGCTCTCTTGGAGTAGTGGTGTGGGCGATGGGTCAGCTGCTTCTCCCTGAGACCCCTCTTCTTGCCCAGCTGACCCTGAATCTGCAGCTCTAGTCTGGGGCTCCTAGCAGCCCTGCTCCCCAGCCTCAGTCCTGCCAAGCACAGTCAGGGTTAATCGCAGAGGAACCACACAAATTCTAATCTCAGCTGTAACCCTAAGACTAACCCTAGCCTTGAAAACTAACCCTAAAGCTGCAGTATATAAGATTTTAGGGATTTTGGAGACCTCTCTGGTGAAAATGTGTAATTACACACAACATGCGGAAGAACATGTTGTAGCCTGGGTTGAGCTTCGGACCCCTTCCCTGAGTGGATGGATCTGATGATTACGAGCATTTTACAAGAGAATTCAAAGAGAACTCAGTCAAAACTTTGGTGAAGGAGCGTCTACAGAGGAACTTCAACCTAAAGCCTACTATAGCTCTAAAACTAAACTGAACCCTAAAAGTCATCTTAATGGTAAGGCTAAGCATGAAAATAACCCTAATCCAAAAATTAACCATAACCCTAAAACTAATTTGCCACCTAAAATGAACCCTAAAACTCAACCTAAACTATAAAACTACAGCGAACCCTAAAACTAACTCAAACCTTAACAATAACCCTAAAAATAACTTTAAAATGAATGCTAACCACAAAACTAATTTATTATTATGAAGTGTCCTCAAGTCAGTTCCAGCTCCTGGAGTCCATATAGATACTGTTTCTCCAGAATATCCTATCTTCTGTTTTGGTTTTTCTCTTTAATACAATAAAACCAACCCCCAAATTTAACTCTGAAAACTAATCTTAACTATAAAACTAGCTCTAACCCAAACCTAGCCATAGGCTGAACCCTTAAACTTTAACTGTAAAAACTAATGCTAATGCTAATCCTAAAACTAAACTGAACTATAAAACTAACGCATACCATATACTGTATATGTATATACGTTCATAAATATTAGTACTGCTACTTTGAAGGCCATTTGAGTTATTACATCATTTCACAGTTCACTTTATTTGAAATCTAAACCTTCCACTTTCACTTACTGTCCACTTTGTGAGCTCCACATATCCTGCAGATCTTCAATGTAGGTTTACTGTTACAGACTGTAGGCCGGAGGTCACTAATAGGCGGACCGCGGCCCGAGCCCAGACCCAGACGCTGTCCTATGCGGACCTGGACCTAAAACTGATAAATCTATGGAGTACTATTTAATTTCGACTGGGTGGTCCTATTTTAATCGGCGTAACTTTTCTAGCCTTTACAGTACCAGTTTAACGGCCCGGGAGACTCACAGACCAATCATGTGCGTTGCAAATATCACGTGATGCTACTCAGCCAATCAGATCTGTGCATTACGATGAGCACTGAGACTCGAGTGAGTGACGCACACAAAGGGATGGGACGAGGCGAGAAACAGCAGTCAGAGAAGAAAGTGAGTCAGAGGGAAGTTATTTAACATGTCGTGCTCCAAAAAGAGAAAACTGATAATAAATATTGTTGAAATATGACTCAACTGTACTTTATTTGATTTGACATTCAGTTGTTGACTGAATAAGATGTTGATATAACTACTAGGCTACTTCAGTAAACAGTATATGGCACTGAATCATAATCCAACTTAGACATTATGATGTTCTGGACCTTTGCATGAGGATATTTTCTCTAACTGGACCTGAATTTTAATTAAAGACCCCTGCTGTAGACCATGAGCGCAAGTACGGTTTCTAATACAGTGAACAGTGACAGTACATTTGGATGTGAACTGTATGTGATGAAATGTGCACCTTTGGGTAAATTAGCGAACAGGCTCTGCAGTTTGGGGTAGCTCTCCTGATTGTACTCTTTGGAGAGATTGTCCCAGAAAGCCTGGAGAACCGAGGTGTCCTGCTCCAGAAGCCACGTTAGGAGAGAATACACAGCCTTATGGATTCCATCCTTCTTCTTCCTCTCCAGGGTCTCCTGAAGAGCACATGGACCACAGCATGAGCACTACAGCATCACGTCATGATGGAAACAAAATGTCTAAAATTATTCACTGGAATGGGCAGCGCAGTGGTCTTATAAAAGTGTCTTATTTCATTGTCAGATCATGTTCCTTGTTTTAATCATTATTTCTTGAAATGAGCAAAAATAATCTTCATTATTTCTCAAAACAAGTAAACTAATCTGCCGATGGAATAAGACACTTTCACCAGATAAAATCACTTAAAACAAGTAAAAATGTACAGAAACAGGTGGAATAATCTTATAATATTCTTACAACAGTCTCATAATGAGGAATATTAGATTTATTGACCATATTTAAGAGGTTTTCACTCGTTAAGATATTGTTTTTTGCAGTGTACAGTATGTTGGTAGTTAATACAACATGTTAGGCCTTCAGTTCAGGGCCAGAAGTGCTAACCAATGGGAGAGCTTGCTTGGATGTATGTACCAATTTTCCACAGAGTTACATTCAAGCCAAAACCTGAATGAAAATAAAGGTATTATTACAATATTCCCCAACTTCAATCATTATCAATCTATTAGAAAATATCCTACAAATGAACTAAAACTGGCAGGCATACATTTTTTTATCTCATATAAATTATTAGACCATCTCTAAAGGCCTAGAAGGATTTGTGGGTTTCCCACTGAATTTCATGGATTCACAAATGACCTTCACTCCAGGATGGACAGATTTAATTAAGCATTGCTCATGCTGAAGGTGAGAAGGTGTTTTTTATTTTGACATAGTTCAATACTATCCACACTGTTCAATACTATTCAGTGTACTGTGTTCAATACTGTTCAATACTGTGGTCACTCTCACCCCCAGCAGTCGGTCAGAGATGATATCATGATCTGCCAGGCCATACAGCAGGGGAGAACGCGTCGTGGATTGCCATCGCGATCTCAGTTCTACATGCTTTCAGCTGCGAGCGCAGCTCCGAATCTCCATAAGCCTCCACACGGGACATGCTGGACTGGACAGTGAAGAACAGAATGTCATCAGAGACCAAGAAAAGGGTTACATGTACACTTTGTGTCCATCTGTACAATCTATACAAATACAAATGTATATAAACAGGACAAATTGCCCTGTTTTTTTAATAAAACATGCAGTTGGAAGTATTGATGAAACACACAATATGCTCAGCAAAGAATTTTGTGATGTAATGTGGAAACACCTACCTTGTGCTTCCACTAACTGGCCACTTTATTAGAAACACCTACATTGTGTTTCCACTAACTGGCCACTTTATTAGAAACACCTACCTTGTGTTTCCACTAACTGGCCACTTTATCAGAAACACCTACATTGTGTTTCCACTAACTGGCCACTTTATTAGAAACACCTACCTTGTGTTTCCACTAACTGGCCACTTTATTAGAAACACCTACCTTGTGCTTCCACTAACTGGCCACTTTATTAGAAACATCTACCTTGTGCTTCCACTAACTGGCCACTTTATTAGAAACATCTACCTTGTGCTTCCACTAACTGGCCACTTTATTAGAAACATCTACCTTGTGTTTAAACTAACTGGCCACTTTATTAGAAACACCTACCTTGTGTTTCCACTCACTGGCCACTTTATTAGAAACACCTACCTTGTGCTTCCACTAACTGGCCACTTTATTAGAAACACCTACCTTGTGTTTAAACTAACTGGCCACTTTATCAGAAACACCTACCTTGTGTTTCCACTAACTGGCCACTTTATTAGAAACATCTACCCTGTGTTTAAACTAACTGGCCACTTTATTAGAAACACCTACCTTGTGTTTAAACTAACTGGCCACTTTATTAGAAACACCTACCTTGTGCTTCTACTAACTGGCCACTTTATTAGAAACATCTACCTTGTACTTTCACTCACTGGCCACTTTATTAGAAACATCTACCTTGTGCTTCCACTAACTGGCCACTTTATTAGAAACACATACCTTGCACTTCCACGTCCTGGCCACTTTATTAGAAACATCTACCTTGTGTTTCCACTAACTGGCCACATTATTAGAAACACCTACCTTGTGTTTAAACTAACTGGCCACTTTATCAGAAACACCTATCTTTCACTTCCATTAACTGGTCACTTTATCAGAAACACCTACCTTGTACTTCCACTCACTGGCCACTTTATTAGAAACACTCACCTTGTGCTTCCACTCACTGGTCACTTTATTAGAAACACTCACCGTGTGCTTCCACTCACTGGCCACTTTATTAGAAACACCTACCTTGTGTTTTAACTAACTGGCCACTTTATCAGAAACACCTATCTTTCACTTCCATTAACTGGCCACTTTATCAGAAACACCTATCTTTCACTTCCATTAACTGGTCACTTCATCAGCAACACCTACCTTGTACTTCCACTCACTGGCCACTTTATTAGAAACACTTACCTTGAGCTTCCACTCACTGGTCACTTTATTAGAAACACCTACCTTGTACTTTCACTAACTGGCCACTTTATTAGAAACATCTACCTTGTACTTCCACTCACTGGCCACTTTATTAGAAACACCTTTCTTATAGCTCCACTGTGTAGGAGTTTGGTTATAGACTGTAGTCTGGGGGTGTCCAGCACAGTTTGGTAGTTTCTTTACTTAAACAAAAAACCTACCAACTAAATCCAGCAATTAACAGATGAGTTGACTCATTTGCTGGACTCTGCTGGACACCAGCCCTCCAGGACCAGATTTGTACACCCCTGTGGTAGTCCATCTGTTGCTGCACAGTGTATCTGCCCCCTCTACCTATTCATCTATTCGTCACTGGTCAGTTTCTGACCTCAGGACTACTGTTGTCCAGTTATTATTTGTATGGTGGACTTTCTCAGCTAACACAAACTAACTGCACACCAGCAAGGTGGAGAAGCTTCTAGTAAAGCAGCCAGTGAGTGCATCTCCAAAGACAAACGGAATTCAAAGCACTGCTGTGGAAGAAAACGTACTTACTGTAGCTGCAGGTGATGAGATGCGATGAGACAGCACCTCACACTCTGCTGCATTAGCCTTTTATCTGCTTTGATGGCTGCTGCGTATCCCACCTGTCTCTGTGTAACAGGGTGGAATCTCTGGTGGTCTTTGGCCTTCAGGGGCCGGTAATCCACCAAGACGGAGCTAAAGGCCTTCAGGGACTCACTGATGGTGGTGCTGCATGGGAAAATGCAGCTGGAACTCTGAATTAAGTCCTGTGGGAGGTGCTTTAATGCACTGCTGGTAGGTCAAAGTCACCTGAACTTCAGAATCCACACAGTCTAATTTAGAGGTACAGCCTTGGAAAGTCCACAGTTGGCCTACAAGAGACTTTGCCTCTCTCTCTAACTCTCTCTCATGCCCACCTGCCCCTCTATAGGTCTAACTGAAGTGTGTGAGGCAGGGGAACCCCACTCTGAGTGAACACTTCAGTCCAATGAGCAATGCAAACCAACTAACTTACTGTATATGAATCACGAGGCTTTCAGACGTGCCCATCACTCTGTATGGGTAAAGATGGTTTCAGTCAGTGGCAACTGAAGGTTAGTTAAAGGGGAAACTCCACCTCCTTTTCCAAAATCTTTTCATAATTAAATGGTCGAGATAAATACAAAATTGGGTGGGTTGGTGTGAAATGCTTTGTTCTTCAAGGGTTCTTCAGTAAAGAATTCTATGAGGGATCTATACAGCACCAAAAAGGTTCTTCTGAGTCATTCTATGGAAATGTCCATGTTTGTGTCCCTAGCGTTTACAAATATATTGCACTTGAAAAACATGTTAGTGTTACAATTTATTAATATTATACAATGTTTTTTTTAACAATTACACCTTCTTGAGCCTCAATTTAGCAATATTGGTTTTTAAATCAATCATATAGAATTCCCAGCACCACAGAAGAGCTCGTCCTCACAGTCATGTGTGAAGGCTGAGGCCATATTTTCAGGTAAAAACTTGTTTTTCCACATTTTTAACTACAATAATCTATACATGACTATGAAATATATGATTTAAATGACATAAAGAAAACAAATGACGAATAAATATTATAAAATATATAATGAAAGTTCCCCAGGAGTCGTGTCACTGGTGTTACAGCGTAACAAAAATCTCTTATTTTGAAATAAAAGTCACACTGATGACATCACTTGACTTCCTTTTACCTGTTTTCTGAGGATCTATGAAGAAAAGCACATGGTGAGTCCACTGTGTCTTTCAGTTATCAGAGATTTTCTCATTTAGCTCATGATTTCATATGAAGCTTTTAGCTGAAGTCACTGGTGTGACCGACTTTATTCTGAGGTAACTGTGAAAAAATACAATACAAACGGATTAAATTCCATATTTTAGTGGATGTTCCATGATTGACATCATGTGGTTTGATGCTCTGTAGTAGCCGTTTAGTAAAATGCATTGTTCATTAAAAATGTCTCTGGTGTTTCCTTTATTATGTGTAACACCAATGAGGATCAGTAACACCAGTGACTCCTATGGAGAGACAGAGAAGTGGACGTTTCTGTAGAATGACCCTTCTATTGTTACGGTTTCAAGCCTGTAACAATAGAAGAACCCTTTCTTGGTGCTATATAGAAAAACACACTCTGCATCAATCTGAAGAACCCTTTAATGATGCAAAGAACCCTTTAATCACAATCTCAATGTACAGAAACAGGTGGAATAATCTTATAATATTCTTACAACAGACTCATAATGAGAGATATTAGATTTATTGACTACATTTAAGACGTTTACACTTGTTAAGATATCATTTTTTGCAGCGTAAACCATTACACTGTGATATCTACCCATCAGGAAAACCAGCAGACCAGCAGAAACTTTTAATAGTTTCTATGTTTTTTTTAGCAGGGTATTATTAGACCCAGCATGGGAAAAAGAATGTGTGGCTTAGTTTAAGACAACACAGGAAACCACACAGAGCTGCTGTGTGGCTGTGGAGGTAACTTGGTGAGCAAAAACAGCTTATAGGACAAAGTTTACTGCATTAAACACGGCTGTGTCACGATATTCTTACTACTACAAGGTTTACTTCTCCTCCAGCAGCCTTACATCGCTAGGCATCAGTAGCATATCCGACACAAGCTGCATTTCTGAGTGGAAGAATTGTTTATTGCAATTATTATTAATCATAATTTTCATTAGTTTTTATTTTTATTTAGTTTTTTACTTAATTAGTTTAAGGGGACATCAATATTTTCTGAAAAGTAATAGTTTTAGTTCAGTTTGTAATTGGTTTCAGTTTCAGTTTTTAGTATTATGATGAACGCTGTGATAGCAGGTATCTAAAAAGAGTAGGGCAAAACTAACCCAACAGCAGACTGAACTCAGCTCAGCTCTCCTTAAAGACGCCCAAACACAGAAAAGTTCCACTTCTAAACTCTCATTAGCCACGTTTACATACAGCCTAATAATCCGACTAATAGCTCAATCGGAATAGAATACGTCCATGTAAACACCTCAGTCAGAATAGTCTAGTCTGATTGAGGCCATTCAGAATACAGTCTCTATCCGACTGAACGAGGTTAAGGTTAGGGTTAGGATTAGAGCAGGTTTAGGGTTAAAGACAATTAAGGTCAATTTAGTAGATATTTAGTTTAATAATTTAAGTATGTACAAAGCATCTAACGCGGACTCTCCAAATAAAGTGTTACCTAGTTTTTTTTCTTAGAAATTAGTTTAACATGGCTTGGTTTAGTTCAGTTTTAGTTAGTTTTGCAGTGGACATTATAGTTTTGATTGATTTTAGTTTTTGCAATGTCCGAAATGTCCCCTAATCACTATGCCCTGCAGCTGAGAAACCGGATCACTTTATAGAGCACTATCACAGGTAACAGGATTCGTGATAGTAGTAAACGATTTCGACACTGCATTATACAGGTTTGCTCATTACTGTGCAGTGGAGCATTTGAACAAAATCATAGTTTATAAATGCTTAAAGATTTTTAATGTAAATTAATACATTTATTTCCACAGAACAGCATAAAACATTTTAACGAAGAGCTTTTAAACTTGAGTTGTAGGAGTTTAAAACGGCGCCTCATGTACGTTCATGACATCAGTGAGCGCAAACAGCCAATGAGCTGCTCTGCTCGCCAACCAATCAGTACTCAGTAGCAGTAATGTTAGCACTCTGCTGCCCAAAACCCGTTTGCTGTAGAAAAAAGGTGAGTTTTCTTTGCTTTTTTAGTGAAATACTTTCTAAAATTAAAGAATGTTCTGGTTGATTAGAAACAATTTTCACTGTTAGTTTTTAGCTGTTGAGGTACATCAGTTGTACACTACTTACTGCAGTGCACTATGGGACTGTTTGTGTGCGCTGGATCTTCTGCACTGTGTTTTACCATTCTACAAAATGGTAGAACCCCAAAATAGTGCACTGCACTGTTAGAAATAAAGGTTCTGTTCAGGTACACTTTTCATTCATCAAGGTACAAACAGTGTAAATGTTCAAAGCTCCAACAGTGGTTTTAAGGTCTGATTGTGAACCTTAAATAAGTTTTTCCAGGGGAAAAGTTCGTATTTGTATCTTTTCATAACCGAATGTTTTAAAACAGAACAGTAAAATAAAAGCCTGGAGACGAGACGGGGTGTGTGGAGTCAGTACAGCTTAGAACATATCATTTCAGTGGATTATGGTTCAGTTATGTTCCCTGACTAAAGGTACTGAGATGGAGCCTTGAGGGAACCACCCCAGTGACAAGAGGGGAACCGCCCCAGTGACAGATTACCACCTTTATTTGGGAGAGTGTATATAGTGAATAGGGTGGTTTCGAAAGCTAAAGTATCTCTAAAACGGTAATTTGACAGAAAGAACAAAAAGCTTATTTACTTTAAATGAAAGTCAATGTAAAGAGATTTATTTCCAGTTTTGGAGAGCTTCTATTGGTCCATTCGTACTGAAATGTCACACAGCCGAGCTGTGATACTTGGTTTATTTTTTAACGATAAACTAGATAAGAGTGGAAAGAAAACCAATGAGCCGTGAGCGTTTGTGGTATTAACACGTAGAGTTTATTGATCTTTTCAGACAGATGTCATGCTCATAAATGTCCGTACAGAATGAATAGAGAGCCAACTGCACTGCTCTGCTCAAGCCCATGGCCACAATCCCAGACTGCCCTGCGAGCTCACGGCACCGCCGGGGCCTCTGATCATACACACTCTCAGCATCCTCTCACACTGGACCTGCTACACCTTTCGACCTCGGTGATGGACAGAGTGAACAGAGGATTTCTCTAAAGGAATGATTTCATCACATGAACGTCTTAAATCCATCCAGCGCAGGGGTCGGTCATTTCAGCTGAAGTGACCGCCACCTCACCACGTCGTACCTGTTCGCGGTTATAGCCATACAATGAGAGCTTTGCATTTTGGTGTTAGAATAACAGAAGGCACACTAGTGTCACAAAAGTGGAAGGTAATAAAGGAAGAGGCTGGACAGTACAGGTTAAATATGAGATTAATATGAGATGAATTATTATGTGACGAGTCTAAAATCTATTTATTCCTGTGGCTTCTTTAACTGTCAGCTGCTGTGACAAGATTTAAGGTTTCCAGTGATTCTTTAACATTAATTCCTGACCATTAAAACGACGGTCATTCTTCTAGCCTATCTATATCATATCTAGTGGAAGAATTACTGGCACTAGAAATGAACTGACCTAACCTTAACATCTTTACAAGGGCCGAAAACAGCCGAAATTAATATATAAACGTCTATACACAGTGGTGTCAGTGCATTCATGTAAACAGAAAAAAATATACATATGTATATATATATATATATATATATCAAATAAGACATTATAATGAAATAGTACAGATACTAGTCCTACTACTGTGATAAGTAAACAGTTCACATTCCTTTAACATATTGGTGCAATGACCTGAATCTTATAGAGTGGACTCGAACCACGTTTCTGTACATTCTCCCCCAGCTTTGCTCTGCTTAGTACTTCCTGTCTGGATCTGAGGACTTTTATCCACACAGGAAAGTGTCCATTCATGTGGGAAACAACAATCGTTTTGTGTTTACACCCTACACACGTACCCAAAATGTGCTCGAAGGACGACGGACCGCACTACACTAAACACTCACGAAGGGGACCGCGACAAAACTCGTCGTATTTCATCACTTTACGGCGTGGACGGCGACATGTTTCCTTCTTTCAGGACACTGGAACAAAGTGCATGTATTAGAGGTCACAAATAAGCAAAATCACTGGCCACCGCTCGCAGTGCAGCAACAAAACCGGAGAGAAAAAAACAGACAAAAAGAGCTCAAATTTGAGCGAAACCTCAAAATATCGTCAAAATATCAAAACATTCCTCCTCACTTCAGCCCTGATGTCACTTTTCTCTCGTCACAAGATAACAGCAACCCACTGTACAATGCAATTTGAAACAGTTTAGCTGTCTTCAAAACAAAAGAAAGTATAATAATGATAATAATAATAATTAAACAATAAATAACAGACTGTCTGTTGGGTTAACATATAAGGATTAACAGCAAAATGATCAACATCATAACATGGGAGAGAAAGAGACCCCCTCCCCCCAAAAGGTGAAGCCCTTATCATTTCAGAACGTACTCATACAGGTGAACGCTAACCTTTTTGATGGATGTTAATGACAATATAAATACTATATACAGTACAGTACAGCACGGCAGATCTCAACAGTGAACACGCATCCGGCCTTTTTGAACTGTACTCTCTGTGGACGGCTCAGTTTACTAAAGTGAACCAAAAAACATGCAAAGCTGACTGGTGGGGGGCAGTGAATGTGTGACCGGTCGAAGTGTGTGATTAAAATCACATAAAAACACAAACAAATGCGATAAGTTATTAGTATGTCCTGCTAAATCTGCACGGAAGAAAGTGCTGCATTGCATTGACTCGATTCAAAAGTGTATCATTTACATAACTGTGTTGATGTAATATATTATATTCATGTGGAAACGACACACCTTAGAATCAAGTAACCTTTTTCACTGCCTCAGCTTTGTCTGGACAGGCCTACGCAAGGCCATACTGCCTTTCCCCTTATCTCCACGGCCTTATCTTAATTACTAATAACGTGTAGGGGAAACCGGGCTGACATGCATGGGGTATAAGAAAGAATGATGACCCTATACGCTGCAGCTACCGCCTGTTCCATACTCACTATATCTGTGAAGGCATCATCTCGCGCTTCACTTCATGTACAAAAATACAAAACGTAACCTAACATGAAATTTTTCCAAGAAATGTCAGAGAAAAAAATGGAACGTGTGTCATTTCATTCCCTACGTAATTCCGACAGCATGTCTTTACCTTGTTTTGTAAGTGTACGTAATATTTTTGCTCTTTCTTTAGCATCTGTGTTGACAGTGTGGATGTGATTTTTACATCTGAGAGTTTCGGGCCACTCACTCGGATGTAAAAAGCCTATGTCCAATCGTTACGTTCAACTGGATGCTGACCCATGGGAAGCAACAGAACAAGCAGGTTGTGTAAATGAAGGTGTCCATGAGGGGGCGCTGTACTAACAGGAGCAGCCGCTCTCGGTGGCCGGGGGCTCCTGCGGTTTGTCCAGCTTGATGTCGATCACTGAGAGGTTCACTGTCAAGGAAGTCTAGTGTCTGCTTTACTGAACACAACACAGGCTATAATGTTCATATGATCCACACAGTCATTCTGACAGACTGTAATACTCTACAGGAAGTGTAGGGGGCGATATGGCTTCTACTGTTTCATTTAAAAAGCCTCTATAATGTTCATATGATCCACACGGTCACTCTGACAGACTGTAATACACTACAGGAAGCGTAGGGGGCGATATGGCTTCTACTGTTTCATTTAAAAGGCCTCTATAATGTTCATATGATCCACACGGTCATTCTGACAGACTGTAATACTCTACAGGAAGCGTAGGGGGCGATATGGCTTCTACTCTTTCATTTAAAAAGCCTCTATAATGTTCATATGATCCACACGGTCACTCTGACAGACTGTAATACACAACAGGAAGCGTAGGGGGCGATACGGCTTCTACTGTTTCATTTAAAAGGCCTCTATAATGTTCATATGATCCACACGGTCATTCTGACAGACTGTAATACTCTACAGGAAGCGTAGGGGGCGATACGGCTTCTACTGTTTCATTTAAAAAGCCTCTATAATGTTCATATGATCCACACAGTCGTTCTGACAGACTGTAATATTCTACAGGAAGCGCAGGGGGCGATATGGCTTCTACTGTTTGATTTGCACTCTTCTCTGCCTGGTTGGTGAGCTATCCTGCATGTTTACCAGTGAAAAGCTTTGATTATCTACTTGAGAGGTTCTCCTTCTATTCTGTTAGGCGCTATAATAATGGCATAAACAAAGCTGAGCAAAATATAGGCTCTCTTAAATGACCTCCTACTACCTATGTAGTGAGCACTATGTAGGTCATTATATATCTGCCTTCCAGACATAAATGCAGTGAATGTCTAACAGAAAGTCATTTACATTCAGCCAAAGTTGTACGACTCCAACATTTCAGAGCACTATTTGGGTGTAGAAGCCATAGTTTCATGACCTGTGCTGTGTGAATATAGAAAGTAAGGAGCGATTCAGCCACAGATGTGCTCTTATGCTAAATCAAAATGACTGCAGCACTGAGTACATTTTTCCCAAACTTTTGTCATGATTGCTAATATAAACGTGACACCCATTCATCACAATCACTCATTTTTTTAGAAAATCCTTCAGTGCATCATAAAATCTTTCAACACAAATCCTTTCCGCTTCAGAATTTCAAAAAAAAATCTTAACAAAGTAGTATGTACAATATAATCAATACAAAATGACCAATACACCAGGGCCCAATCCCATTTCACGCCTCACCCCTACCACTTAGCCCTACCCCTCCATTTTGCATGTTCACATCTAGGGGTAGGGTGTCCTGATTCTTGTTGAGATAGAGGGGTAGGGTGAAGTGTTGGGGCTACATGACCCTCCAAACGGAGGTTTTTCAGAGACTCCAAACAGAGTGATATGAGAAAAAAGGAAAAACCGGCAAGACGGAGAACAAGAGACCAAGGAAACCCACAAATGTGAGAATTTTCTCTATTAAAAGTTACAATAACCACTGTATTATCTTAGTTTAATACAGTTTCAATGTATTATGGTCCTTTTCTTCATAACAAGCATAAAAAATCGACAGTACTACGCTGACGTCTCGGTGGCTAGCTAGCTAAATTTCCCGTTCCACCTTAAATAGTCCAGCAGTTCTGACGCTTGAAGCGCCAGAATGTAACTGCTGCTCCATTTAAGGTGGAACTGGAAACTGTAAACAAGAAGCTGGCGAATATCTGAGCGTCATATCACTGAAGAATTAGTGGTGGATGATAATAAATAATTGCCCCCCTCTTTGAAGTCATATGGTGCCCTAAATGTAACTAAAGCCCAGCAGTGAGGAGCTGAACTTTACCCTCCTCTGCTGTCACTGCAGACTGGCAGGGTCGCCTACAGAGCAGCGCTGGTAGCTGTTAATGAAGTAATGCTCTTTTTATTTGAGGGTCCCATTTCAGAGGGAAGATTTCAACCACTATTCCTTATAACTCAGTTCCAAGGGGCAAGGAGACACTCGAAAACGAGGGGTAGGGGTAAAAATAAGAAATGGGACTGGGCCTTAGTGTTTCTTGGATTTTTACATTACCGAAGCATTTTTACACCTCTACTAAACACTAAGCCAAGTGGATGTGAGTGGTGAGTGAAAGGATACTGCCCTCTTTGTTAGTGTCATCCAGACTCTCCATCCCAGGCAGAGCAGCAGCCACTCGCCGGAACAGCTGAGGAACCAAAGCAGAGAGAGTTTAAACCAGAGAGGCGGCGCAGGATGAGCTGATAAAGCACTGTAGGGTTGGCTTGACCCTCCAGCTAAATCAGATCAAAGCGGCACGTTTTGCAAGGATTGCACTGTTTTGCTGAGCCTGTGGTGAGAATTAGGAAGGTTCTGTGCTGCTATCAGACTCACCTGCTTCACATTGCTGCCTGTTTTAGCACTAGTCTCAATGAACATCACGTTCAGCTCTTTGGCCCTCTGCTCGCCCTCCTCGATCGTGATTTGCCTGTTCATGAAATATACAGCTGATTAAAATGATACAAATCCAAATGTACACAGTTTCCCCCTTTCACCAAATGTAGCCAATCAGCCAAGACATGATTAGTGTTGGTTTTGCACCGGAGCTATGAGGCTAATGTAGCTGACCAGTAATTATAACCTTATACCCCACCAATCAGCATCTTGACTTGTAATCTGTGTAACCTGCAAACGATAAAAATGCATTAAAAATGTATGATTGTTGCTGCACGGTAGCTTTTTCCATCAAACTATCTTTGAGTGATAACAATGCTTTACATAACAACACTGATTCCTGCAAAAAAAACTGTTGTTGTGGTTATCGATATAGTTTTGGTTATAAATAAAAAAATAAAATAAAAGGAAACCGAGCCAAAATCGAATTTAATATGTTTGCATCTTTAATTTCATTGTTGGCTGGATATTTTTGGTTGGTGGACTATTCTCAGTCCAGCAGTGACACTGAGGTGTTTAAAAACTCCAGCAGCACTGCTGTGTCTGATCCACTCAGACCAGCGCAACACACACTAACACACCACCACCACGTCAGTGTTACTGCAGTGCTGAGAATGATCCACCACCCAAATAGTATCTGCTCTGTGAGGGTCCATGGGGGTCCTGACCACTGAAGAACAGGGTAAAAGGGGGCTAACAAAGTATCAGAGAAACAGATGGACTACAGTCTGTAACTGTAGAACTACAAAGTGCACCTATATAGTAAGTGGAGCTGATAAAATGGACAATGAGCGTAGAAACAAGGAGGTGGTCAGAATGTTATGCCTGATCGGTGTGTGCCACCGTCCTGCCTCCCCTAACTCTTCCTTTCCCCACCCCTGTTGTAAAACGTGATATAAAAGGCAATAAACAGTTGATCACAAAATAAATTTCCAGTGCGACATATCAGCATCTACAAACAACTGATCTCCTGTTGAATAAGAAAGTTTTGTCAACGTTCATAAAATATTACTGATAATTTCTATTTCCACTTTAAGGCTGGGAGTACAAGAGAGCATCTGTCCCCTCTCTCTCTTTCTCTGGGTGGGCAGGATGTCTCGCTCTCTCCCCCATCACTCAGAGTGATGCTAGCCAACGCGGGCGTCTGTTAGCTAACATAACAGAATTAGCAGTTAATGTTCTCCTCCAAGCGTGTTGAGCTGCCCAATGACGTTACATTAGCGGCAGCTCAATAAGATAAACTGGCCTTCACCCTCCCAGCTTGGTAGTACCGTGTGAGGAGTGAGACTAAGCTGTGGCATAACTGGACACATATAACTTGCCCTGTCCTTGTCTTTCTGTTTTCTCCTCCCTGCTCCTGCCTTCTTGTTATCTGTCTCACCTGTCTGTTGTCTGTAGCCCCGCCCTCTCCGGTCTGTTCCATGTGTATTTATGCCCCTGCTTGTCTGCTTTTTTGTTTGCTTGGTGTTTTGTCCTCTCAGGCTCTGTTTTGTTTATCTCTTGTCTGTTTTCTAGTTTTCTTTATGTCCCTCTGTCTTTGGTTTTCTCTCTGTTTCAGTATTTTGTTCAGTAGTGTTCGTGTCATGGATTTTTAACAAAACCAAGGCCTTGCACCTCCATCCTGCCTCTTTGTCTCTCCTGATGTTACAGTGGATTACATTCACCATAAGGGGGGGAAACTGTGTAAATCTGAGTTTTCACCCAACTATCACTCTAACCCAGTCTGGTATAAAAAGCAGAAAACAAAAGAAAAACAACAAGAAACACTGAATCCTGCTAACATTCCCTTTGTTCCGCTTCATGGATGAAGTCTGCCATTATTCGAACTAGGAGCCATTTCACTGGCAGTTTATTTAGCCAGACCAATCACTGTGTCTTGATGAGCTACGTGGGCGGCTCAGTTAATGACTGAAGTGCAACTGCTGGGCTTGAAATGGAAGAAGAAACCATGACAACGGCTACATTAAGGTTGACATTCATAATATACCTCTGTGCAAAGACAGATTGCTATGGGGGGAATAGCAGACTGAACTGATGAAGCAGAACAGGGTGAAATCTCATGGGATTCAGGGTCGACTGCAGTGCTCTAGCTAACATGAGTAACTGAGTAGCAAACAGGAAAAACACAGACACTACAGCTACGTTCACATTACAGGTCTCATTGCTCAAATCAGATTTTTTGCTCAAATCCGATCTCTCTGACACGATGGTTCACACTCGTTTAGGTAAGTGACTCAAATCTGTCATTAATGTGACGAAACGGCGTCCTGAAATGACCCTCATGAGCTCATCCTACTCAGTAACGTCACGTGAATGAATCACGTGCATCATCAGCACAAACTAACGAGCAGAACGAGCTTCGCTGAGAAGATCATTAACTCTGATCAGCTCTCAGCTTCATTATTAGAGCGAGACGAAGGAGAAAAAGGTGAGATGAGCTGCTTTTCCACCGTTTACAGGCTTTAACTTCTGTTCGGCGCTGCTGCCATGGTAACGCTGAATGATGGGGCAGTGGAAAAAAGCACATGAATTCCGATCTGAGCGTCACATTAAGGTCGCATGGCCATGAATCGGATACGTATCTGATCTAGGACCACATATGAAAGTGACTCAGGTCGGATTTGAAAAGATCAGATTTGTGTCCACACAGCTCTGAAAACATCAGATCTGAGTCACATTAGGGCAGAAAATCTGATTTGTGCCACTTCAGCCTGGTAATGTGAACGTAGCCTATAATAGCACTGAAGCATAACGACTGTGCAATTCAGTCTAAAATGAATTAACCTCTTTTCTTCTAAGTCTGTTTTGTTGCCCACAAGCATAATGATCACATCGCTCCCCCTCTCTGTCCTGACATCATCAATCCATTTAGAGGTCAGCTGGAAGGAGTTCACATCTGGAGAAAGAACGAACAACAAGGTCACCTTTAAACAGAGCAATCGGAATAAAATCAGTGCTGTTAAGATAATGAGTTGCTGCTAAGTTTAAAGCAACATACTGCAAAAAATAATATCTTAACAAGTGAAAACTTCTTAAATGTAGTCAATAAATCTAATATTTATCATATATTATATAATTATGAGGCTGTTGTAAGAATATTATAAGATTATTCCACCTGTTTCTGTACATTTTTACTTGTTTTAAGTGATTTTATCTGGTGAAAGTGTCTTATTCCATTGGCAGATTAATTTACTTGTTTTGAGAAATAATGAAGATAATTTTGCTCATTTCAAGAAATAATGATTAAAACAAGGAACATGATCTGACAATGAAATAAGACACTTTTATAAGATAAAACTGCTTAAAAACAAGTAAAAATGTCTAGAAATAAGTTAAATAATCTCACAATATTCTTACAACAGCCTCATAATGAGAAACAGTAGATCTACTGACTACATTTAAGATGTTAATTTACTCACTAAGACATCATTTTTTGCAGTGTGTATTGTAGCATTGATTATAATGAACAATCATTTTGAACAGAAGAGAACCGAAACCCCACTGACTTAAAACTCACTTATAATAAGAAGCCAAAGGCCAGGAGATGAAATTCCTTACCTTTAAAAAATGGATTTGTTGTAGGTTTTTTGACAAAGTCAACGGTTTTATACAGAACCAACTCAAAGAACCATCTCAATGTTCAGCCCCTTGAAAAACCCAGGCTTATTATTCAGTAACTACAGGGACTTCAGTGCAAACTGGCTGAGCTATTCTTAGATTTTAGACGTGTGGAGTAAAACTTTGGGCGTGCTGTACAGTTTTCTATGATAAAGAAGCTGGTGGATATTCATTCTACCAAACTGGTTCAAAATCAGTTGAAAACATATTTGGGATTTTTAACTGATCTTGGACTTTAGACTAAAACCCTTTTGCTTTGAGTGACTCTAAACCTTAATTATGATTATTTTATTAAATCTAATGACTGAACATTCCATTTTGTCACTACCAAAACAACCATAACTCCCAAACTTTACCAAGCGTTTCAGTAGTGACTGTTTCGGTGATGATTTTAGCTCATTTTGAGCTCAAAAACGCAGCCAGTACATGACCAGCAAACAGCTTTGAACAGCTGTACAAACAAAAAATCAAAACACAAAAAGTACTTAATTTCAGAAAATCTGTTTCGGTAGTGACAGTTCTTAATGTTCCACACTGATTTTCAGACTTCGGGACACATTTGCTTCAAAATGGGATCTAAAAATGGGATCTAACAGGGATGCCGTCTCACTTCCTGCTCTAAAATCTAAGGGCTTGGCTAAAATAAGGCTCCGCCTACAGACTAAAACTTTGTGTTTCAGTAGTGACATAAAAATATGAGTAAGCAAGTTTTTTTTTAATTTTAATAAAACTAAAAGTTTTTAAAAACTTAAAACATTTTTTTTATTCATTCATTAATAGTATTACTATTATTATCACAAGTGTAAATTTAGGGGTTAGGGTTTGGGGACAGACACATCCCATTAAAAAAGAACCCTATAAATGATGATTTTGTATATATTTGTTTATTACTATCGCTATTAATGCATTGAATTTAAATAGATCAGAATATAATCCTTATAAATATTTAAGGTTTGAATTAAATAGTTTTACTGTGAGACTGTAGTCTAAACAGAATGGTCTGCACAGCACCAAAAAAAATTCTTCAGTCAATTCTTTGAATAAATGATGTAAATTAAGCTGTAAATCTGTGTAGTTTATGATTAGAGCTGGAAGCTGTGTAATTGTTTCTTTCAGACGCTGGACTAGTCGTCAGGAGGGAAAATCTGTGGCAGCTGTAGTGCCGAGTTTTCGCAGGATTCGTCTGATCGCCATGCAGAAAACTTCTGGGAAAGCGAAAGTCAGCTAATCTTTCTTACTGATGCTCCAGTGTTGTTTGTGTAGCTGGATAAAAGTTCATAAGAACAGCTTTGGTAAGAGATTCTGTCGGTCTGACTCATCCTAACATCTGTACTGATACAGTGGAACAGCTGGAGCTCAAATTCATATCATACGATTACATTTTAGCAGCTGCCCATTGGCTTCTACTGTAGGTGAACTTCGATTCAGCTGGTTTTCTGTTTTTTTACAGGAAAACGTCAAAATGATCGTCATGGTAACTGATGCTGCAGACGTAGCAGACAGAGATTAGGCTGAGAAACACTGGAGTCTTCCTTTAATGTTGGCTCCACTGTCTGAACGCATGAATGTGTGAGGCTCACTTGTGATGTCATACACAACCACAGCCACCGTGGAGTCTCGGATGTAGCTGGGAATGAGGCTCCGGAAACGCTCCTGACCAGCCGTGTCCCACAGCTGTAACCTCACCTGTGGAAAAAAACACAGTTTACTCACAGAAAGATCAGGGTCTTATGAGGCCCCTGGGGTCAAAGACCACCCCCCCCCATCTCCCACCCCCCCCAATCCTGCAGTCTGACAATAGCACATCTGTAAAAATGCCAATAAAAACAGACACTAAATGATTAAATAAATCATTATTATTAAACTAAATCTTTAAAAATGATCTCTGAAAAAAATAATTGTCATAATATTTTATTATTTAATTTTTTTTATATTTTATTTTAAAATTGTATTATTATTTTATTATTATCTTCCTGTGCAATAGCCTGTCACTTATGCTGTACGCAAACGTGTGGGCACCCCTGGTCAAATTACAAGTGAAAATAAGGACACATCCTCTACAGAGAACACATTTCTGCACATTTTAATACACAATTACTGTTTATTTGTTGATATTTTAACATAATGAAAAAAAGCCCACAAAACTAGGTCCATGCAAAAGTTAATACAAATTTTATGTTTTATGTGTTAATGTTTTCCAACATGATAAATAAAGCAGATAAACAGATATTTTGCACTGACATTTGCAGACAAAATCCATTGTGTGTTGTTCAGGTCTGTGGGACCCATTTTCAATGTTTACCAAAAGAAAAAATGATGTGATTTATTATTATTTCAATCCCAGATTCTTGTCCTTTACTCATTTTCTGTGAAGAGCATATAAAATAACCCATGGACATGGACAGGCTGCTGACTGGCTACAGCTGCTAAAGGAAACCCTACGCTGGACACTTGTGATATTTTAAACATCTGGTATTTTTACATAAATTGATATGGCTGTGTTGATTTAATAAAACAATAATGCGGTGGGTCCAGCAGACCACTGAGTAACACACATGTCAACACCACACAAGGGTTAAATTTATTCCCTGTAGACGATGTGTTATTCTCACTTAGAAAATCAAAATATGTAACTTGACCAGATGGTGTTTCTGCACATGACTGAACTTCTGCACTTTGGATCTGAATTCTTTTACATTATAATACAAAATTGGTTACATACACCGATCAGGCATAACATTCTGACCACCTCCTTGTTTCTATGCTCATTGTCCATTTTATCAGCTCCACTTACTATATAGGTGCACTTTGTAGTTCTACAGTTACAGACTGTAGTCCATCTGTTTCTCTGATACTTTGTTAGCCCCCTTTTACCCTGTTGTTCAGTGGTCAGGACCCCCATGGACCCTCACAGAGCAGGTACTATTTGGGTGGTGGATCATTCTCAACACTGCAGTAGCACTGACGTGGTGGTGGTGTGTTAGTGTGTGTTGTGCTGGTCTGAGTGGATCAGACACAGCAGTGCTGCTGGAGTTTTTAAACACTGTGTCCACTCACTGTCCACTCTATTAGACACTCCTACCTTGTCAGTCCACCTTGTAGATGTAAAGTCAGAGACGATAGCTCATCTGCTGCTGCACAGTTTGTGTTGGTCATCCTCTAGTCCTTCATCAGTGGTCACAGGACGCTGCCCACAGGACGCTGTTGGCTGGATATTTTTGGTTGGTGGACTATTCTCAGTCCAGCAGTGACACTGAGGTGTTTAAAAACTCCAGCAGCACTGCTGTTTCTGATCCACTCAGACCAGCACAACACACACTAACACACCGCCACCACGTCAGTGTTACTGCAGTGCTGAGAATGATCCACCACCCAAATAGTACCTGCTCTGTGAGGGTCCATGGGGGTCCTGACCACTGAAGAACAGGGTAAAAGGGGGCTAACAAAGTACGCAGAGAAACAGATGGACTACAGTCTGTAACTGTAGAACTACAAAGTGCACCTATATAGTAAGTGGAGCTGATAAAATGGACAATGAGCATAGAAACAAGGAGGTGGTCATAATGTTATGCCCAACCCTGTGGTCCAAGGCTCCTCAAGACCCCTGGTAGTGAGAGGCTCCTGGGCAACAGCCCCATTGGTCCAGTCAACCCACCCCTGCATTTACTGCTTACACATGTTTCCACAGCCATACCGTAAACTAGGGCTGCATAATATAGACATAAATGCTATATAACTACACTGCTATATATTGCTATTTATCTGTCTTACAATACATTCAAATACAGTACATTTTTGACCAAAATGATGAAAGTCAGCGATTTGTGGGAGGCTCATTTGCATTTCACAGATATGTGATATATCACTATAAGGTCAGTGTTGCTCTAATGACTAATAACCAGTATGCTGTGCAGGCCTGAAATAAACCACAGCAGATACAGAAACAGTTTTCTTACGGTTCGATCCTCCAGATACATCGTTTTTGATAAAAAGTCGATTCCAATTGTTGCCTAGAGAAAAATAAAAGGACCAGATCAATAACGTTTGAAAGAAGCAGTCTGGGCAATCAAAACCCTTCGAAGAACCTTGAAGAAGGAACTGATGACGTACCTGATAAGTGTTGTCAAAGCTGTCATACATGAACCGTGTAATCAATGAGGTTTTTCCAACTGCAAGAGAAAACAGGAGGAAACACTCACCATTAGGATACACTGAGTGAACTGAAGCTTACAGTCTTAAAAAGATGGTTCTTCAAGGGTTCTTTAGTAAATAAAATGGTTCTATATAGAACCTTTAATACTTAAAGAGCCCTTTGCACGATTAAAGGGTTCTTTGCATCGTGACAGCGTTCTTTGGATTGATGATCAATGTGCTGTAGATGGTTCTATATAGCACCGTTTTGAAAGTGGTTCTAGATGGCACCAAAAAGGGCTCTACTATGGTTATGATGTCAATAACAGAAGAACCCTTTTGGCGCTAAATAGAACCATCTGCAGCATCTCTATCAATCTGAAGAACCCTTTCACGAAGCAAAGAACGCTTTAATCATGCAAAGGGTTCTATGAGTGTTAATGGTTCTATATAGAACCATGTTCTTTACTAAAGAACCCTTAAAGGACAGCTACACTGCACTGTATTTGAAATAATTAATGAAAGACTTTCAATTTCATGGTCACATTAAACACAAATGATCACATCATCATCACATGTTCGTCACAAACCGACCAACTACTTAATACAAAACATTCACTTTTATTTTTATTATTTAAACATTATTTAACCAGGAGAACCTCAGTAAGATGAAAGATGGCTAATACAGGTGGCAGCACATGTAGCAATTAGTTCCCACACACACAAATAACAACACCAAGCACAAGAATGATTAATAACTTCCTTATTACATGCTTATTATTCAGTAATTACAGTGACTTCAATGCAAACTGAGCTATTCTTAGGTTATAGAAGTGTGTAATAAAACTCTGGGCCTGCTGGTGGGCCCTGGCAAGGGGTTATGCTCTGCACCCTGTCTTGCTTTGCCAACAGAAAGCAGAAAAGTGTCAGAATGCAGACTGCAGAGTGCACTAGGCCTAATCCTCAGACTGCGCTCACACCCACACCAACAGAGGCCTGCTCTGTTCAGGCCTTACAGGTCAGGCCTGTTCCTCAAGCTGCCTTCAGAAAATCGGTACAGGCTAAGAGCCGTGATTCATGGGCGTATCATATACTGGGTCTGACAACGCACCTACAGACCCTATCAGAGGTTAGATATCTTAGCAGGATTATCAGGAAACCAACAGTTCCCAATATCCAAACCAGTGCTACGCTTCAGGACCCTGGACAGCAGCATTCCACACATTTTTCCCATGTCTGTGGGTAACTGAGGAGCAGGCCCAAGCCTAAAGCTGCCCTGCCTCAAAATGCCTGTGATTCCTGACTGCTGCTTCGTATGTGGCCACAGAACAGCTGCAAGCAGTGCCACTTGTTTGGCCACACGTATTTGTAAAGGAAGCCTATACAGCTGGCAGCAGTTTTCCAAAAAAGCTGAACAATTATAAAACCATGAAAAGGTTCTGCCGGTTCCTGGTGGTGCCCAACAGCCACTTATGGCATTTAGCGTTTTGCTAAAGGACTGATATCACAGTGTAAAGGATTCTAATGGTTTAACAGGTGGGACTGATTCCAGATGCATCTGATGGTTACCGAATGGGATCTAAAGGTGCCTAGTGGTCTCATTAGGCCAATTCCCATTATTAGGATGGTTTAATAATTCCCATTATTAGACCATCATTAGGAGAACCATCAGGAAAACCATCATTAGGAGAACCATCAGCAAAACCATCATTGGGAAAACCATCATTAGGAAAACCATCATTAGTAAAACCACCAGGAAAACCATCATTAGAAGAACCATTAGGAAAACCATCTTTAGGAAAACCATCATTAGGAGAACCACCAGGAAAATCATCACTGGGAACACCATCATTAGGAGAACCATTGTTAGGAAAACCACCAGAAAAGCCATCATTGGGAAAACCATCATTAAGAAAACAATCATTAGGAAAACCATCATTAGGAAAAGGATCATTGGGAAAACTATCATTAGGAAAACCATCAGGAAAACCGTTATTGGGAAAACCATCAATAGGAGAACCATCGTTAGGAAAACCACCAGAAAAACTATCATTGGGAAAACCACCATCAGGAAAACCATCAGGAAAACCATCATTAGGAAAACCATGAGGAAAACCATCATTAGGAAAACCATCATTGGGAAAACCATCTGGAAAACTATCATTGGAACCATCCTAATGTTCTTTATTCCGGCAGGGTTTGGCAACATTCCCGCTCCGCTGCACCAACATTCTGTTTTATGACGCCACAGCAGCCCTCCTCTATGACGCCACAGCGGCCCTCCTCTATGACGCCACAATAGCTCCCCTCTGTGACGCCACAGTAGCAAATGCACAATGTCGCGTGCCTGTATTCCATACGGCATAGGTTAGGACATCTTTCTCAGGGAGTGCTTCCACACACGCGCACGCGCACACGCGCGCCCGTACACATACACTGTGATTACGTCTTCTCCCATACAGACAGCAGAGCAGCCCAAAGCTCAAGATCACCTTCATCACGACAGCTCGCCGCCACACACGCTGACTCACCGATACGATCATACGAGTTGTAATAGGGCGGCCCGGCGCTGCTGCTGCAGTGCTGCTCGGCCTTTATTCCCTCATTACAGGCGTTATTGTGGTTCTATGGCGCGCGAAGGCTGCCAAGTTGAAGGATCCCAACCTGGGTGTGTCTCCACTGGACAACATGGGAAACGCTCATCGTTTCCAACACTGTTCTCCTGGATATCAACACTAGGAACACGAGCAGAACCCGCCACCACGCCCAGACTGACATTACTGCACAATTGCTTCAGTATTATTATTATTATTGTTATGATTATTATTACTATTATTAGCCCTAATACAACAGCATGCATGGTGTCTAATGCTGTTAGTGAATGTATTTAGAGTGATTAGATCTCACGAAGCTTATTGGGCAGCACCTTGTTCGAATTTTCCCGTTCCACCTTAAATGGTGTAGCAGTTACATTCATACAGCGCCACAATGTAACTGCTGCACCATTTAAGGTGGAACGGGAGAATCTGAACAAGGCACAAATAAAACACACCCAGCACTCACCGCTCTGCTCCCCCAAAAAAACAAGTTTGAATTTCCTTAAAGGGTTCCCAAAGTCGCTCCCCATGGACATGGCTGCTCTGACGGATGGATGTGGTGCAGATCCCACCTGGCCGGAGGAAACGCAGACGAATAAAACCCCCCCGAATGTCCGGCTCTCTCTCCAGATCGATGGGCGCTGCAGCACTCCGCTTTTGCTCTCTGAGATATGAAGAGTCTGGACGGGGTTTCTTTTCCTGCGCTGCGCATGCGCAGCTCTCTCTCGCTCACTCGCTCTCTGTCTCTCTCTCTCTCTCTCTCCCTCTCTCCGCCCTCCTCCCCGTTTCGCTTCACACTTCATGTTTACGGAAACGGCGCTGAGGCCTCGCGCATCCGCCCCGCACTGCATTTGTGCATTAATGCATTTATGACTCTGATTTGGCAGCTTAAAAAAAGTCATGCATGTGCAAGCAAAGCGCGCGCGAAACCACACACGGCCTCGTGCTTCTCATACCGAGCACAAATCGCTTGCGAAACTTCCTATTTCTTTGGGATTCAATCAAATCGCGCACGTTGGGTTTTGTGGGCTGTGTGTGTGGGGTGTGTGTTTATGCCACGTTGTGGGGACCTTTCACCCTTGTGGGGGACTACAACCAGGTCCCCACAACGTCAATCGTTACATTTTAAGGTGAAGGCATGTTTTAGGTTGAGGGTAAGGTGAAGGTTAAGGGTAAGGATAGGGTAAGGGTTAGTGTTAGGCTAGTCGCATTTAGGGTTAAGGTTTGGGGAAGTTTCCAGAAAATGAATGGAAGTCAATGGGATGTCCCCACAATTCACAGAAACAAACGTGTGTGCATGTGTGTGTGCATCTTGCAGGTTCTCTGGAAACAAGATTTTAAGATAAATTTGTGTGTTTACATGCCTGGTTTATATGCTTAGAGGTAAATATGAAAGCTATTACACCAGCAGGCCGAATAATAACGCACTGTCAGATTTTTAATGGTCAGAATTTGTTGAGGCCTCAGAGGCAGTGAGTCCATTTCTCTGTGGTGACCAAGTGGCAACAGAATGATGGAAAATATGCACACTTTCAAGACAATAAACACATTCTCTACAAAAATAAGTCATTCGTGATAAGTGCAAATGCAAAATACTGGGCTATCAGTATATAGGAGAGTATAGATAACATCTCAAAGGGGAACTGCACCAATTTTTCAAATTTTCTGTATAAATAGTTGAGATGTAAACAATCATTCAGAGTGGTTTGGTGTGAAAAGTTCTGTTCTAGAGAAACTTACCGAGCCACAATTCTTCACAGTGGTGGTGATAGGAACCAGACGTCCACCTCTAAAAGCTCCCTCACAGAAAGTTATTATATGAAATGGTTATGAATACATCGCTCGAGGCCTGAAACATTGTTATACGATAACTTTTGGCCTAGAATGTATTTTTAAAAAAAACATTAATGGCCCCCAAAAAACAATTACTACCAACATTTTATAAAAAAAATTTAAAAAGTTGGGACAGGGGGCAACAAAAGACTGGTAAAGTTGTGTAATGTTAAAAAAAAAACCTAGTGGTTGATTGGCAACAGGTCAGTAACATGATTGAGTATAAAAAGATCATCTCAGAGAGGCTTTCAGAAGTAAAGATGAGGAGGGGTTCACCACTCTGTGAAAGACTGCACGATCAAATAGTGCAACAATTCAAAAATAACATTTCTCAACGTAAAACAGCAGAACTTTTGCTTTTCATCATCTACGGTACATAATATCATTAAAAGATTCAGAGAATCTGGAGAAATCTCTGTATGCAAGGGACAAGGCTGAAAACCAGTATTTGCTGGCCGTGATCTGTGGGCCCTCAGACAGCACTGCATTAAAAACAGATATGTTTCTGTAGTGGAAATCACTGCATGGGCTCAGAAACACTTCTGAAAACCACTGTCTGTGAAAACAGTTCATCACTGCATCCACAAATGCAAGTTATATCTTTAAAATGCAAAGAAGAAACTGTACCTAAACAGGATCCACAAACGCTGCCACCTTCTCTGGGCTGGAGCTCATTTAAAATGGACTGAGGGGAAGTGGAAAAGTGTCCTGTGGTCCAACAAATCAACATTTTAAATTCTATTTGGAAATCGTAGACACTGTGTCCTCCAGGCTGAAGACCACCCAGCTTATTGGTTCAAAAGCCAGTATTCATGATGGTATAGGGGGCATTCGTGCAAATGGCATGGGTGATGTGAACATCTGTGAAGACACCATTGATGCTGAATGATATATACAGGTTTTGGCAACATATGCTTCCATCCAGACGACGTCTTTTTCAGGGAAGGCCTTGATTATTTCAGCAAGACAATGTAAAACCACATTCTGCATGTATTATAACAGCATTGCTCCATATTAAAAGAGTCTGGGTGCTAAATGGACCTGCCTGTCACCACTGATAACAGCTAGCTGCCCTATATCTATATTTCTATGTTTTATTCTATATAACAATGTTTATCTGTATTGTCCCTGTCAAATAAACAAACATAAATAAATATATAAATAGTTGGATCATTGTCTCCCATTCCTTAAATACTCTACTAAATGTCTGCTAATGAGGAACAGGTGTTAGCTAGAGTCTCAGTATTCTAGAGAGTGAGACCCCTGCTGGTGTGGAGGGGAACTGGCAGCAGATGTGACACCTTTAAACTGATGCACAGATTCCATCCAGCAAAGACTTCAACTCCTTGAGACCACCGGTGATTCCAAAACGCACTTCGTCATATTCTTCATAACTGTCATATTTCATAAGCTCCATTCTAAAGGTGGGGGTCGTATGAGAGCTGTAACTGTCTTCTTTCCAGTCAAATAGATGGGTGATGTAATTTTAAACCCTTATAATAAAAGAAGCTGAACTCACAATTTTTTTTTCTACTGAAAGTCGACCCATTTTTCCACAAATCTGAGCTATAAACTATAAACAGATGGCGTCTCTTCAGTGATCTGCTCTGTAAACATTATTTTTATAAAATAATACAAAGAGCGTCTAAGATTTTTGGCTTTCGGCAGTAAATTGTAAGCACATGTTTATGATATAAAACACATTTTCTGTTAATTTGAGGGGAGCTTTTACAAAAAAATAAATAAATAAAATAAAAATGTACATTTATTTTATGCAGTTACTGAATAAATTGCCTTACGATTTGGTCATGTAAATTCAGATGGACAAACCAAAATATACCCTGGAGAATAAGAGGTTAAGAGGCACAATCCTGACACTAAAAGTGAATATTTCTGTAAAACTGCAGCCGAAAGTGTTTTTCTTCTGTATTTTGCTCATACAACCACGTTTTGATCTGATCTTTTGGAATTTGCTTAAAATAATTGAACAGATGTTCCCTTGTAGCTTTGAAGATCATCTTTGATATGTTTAATTATGAGAAAGGGAAAGAAGAGAAGAATTTTACAATAAATTTTATCTTCTTATTTGCTAAATATCATGTACACCTTTAATACAGTGCACCAGTGAACTGGAACACACTACAGTAACTCTAAAGCGCCGCTCGGTGGTGTCACTCCACCATTTTAAACCTCTAATCTCCTCTTTGATCTGATCTCAGTTCCTTTCTGCTCTGTTCTATTTTATTTCACTATTTCATTGCACGGTTTTATTTGATGTTTGCTGTTTTGCTGTTCTACTTTATTTTACTATTTTATTAAATGATTTTAATAAAGATTTTTAGTTTTTTTTATTATTGCTTATTTCCTTAGCTGGCTCTTTTACTTACTTTTAATTTGTTTTCATTATTTATTTTCTTGCTATTTTATGTCTGTTTCTTATTTGAACTGTTGTTTTTATTCCTTTATAAATATTTATGTCCATTTTGTTTTGCTGATTTTGATTTTAGTTGATAAATTTCATTTTAGTTTTTCTCTTTCAGTCCCTGTTGAACTCGCTGGGCTACACTGTAAATGAGGGTCACCCTCAATGTACTTCCATGTTGAAATGAAGGCTGATTGATTGATTGATTGACTGACTGATATTATATTCATAAATGTGAATTCAGTGGCGCCAAATCTTTCTTCCTTGCTTTCAAGAAAACTGATAGTTTTGTGTTCTTTTATTGTCTCTTCATGTTTGTAGACCCCTGAACGTTTTTGTGTATTGTTGCTTTTTGTGTTGTGTGTTTCCTGATGTTTATGTTCTCACAATAAAATAAATTACTACAGAAAAATAAATATAAATAAATAAATAAAACACTTTCACATTGTGACACTTGGGTTGCTGAAATTAAGCTTAGGGTTTGAGGAAAACAATAACAATATTTCATCGTTATCACGATAAATTTCCTTTTGTGATTATGAATACGCTTCTTTGAACATACAGTGCTGTGAAAAAGTATTAGTCCCTTCCCAATTTCCTCTATTTTTGCATATTTGTCACATGTGAACGGTTCAAATCATCAAACTACTATCAATATTAGACAGGGATGATTTCATTTACTGAAGGAAAAATGCTGTTCAGCCCTACCTGGCCCTATGTGAAAAAGTAATTGCCCCCTTAGCTACTAAATCATCTAGTTAACCAAATTTACTTGACTGTTGGGTTCAATTTCACCAGCCACACTCAGGCATGATCACTGCCAGACCTGCTGAATCTAAACATCACTTAAATAGAACCTGTCTGGCAATGTGACGCAGCTAGAGGGTCTCAAAAAACAGCATGTGATGCCACGTTCTAAAGAGATTCAAATACAGATGTGAAACAAAGTCACTGAAATCTACCAGTCTGGAAAGGGTTCCAAAGCCATCGCTGTGGCTCTGGGACTCCAGAGAACCACAGTGAGAGCCGTTATCCACAAATGGAGAAAACCTGGGCAGTGGTGAACCTTCCAAAGAGTGGCCAACCTAGCAAACTTTCACCAAGAGTGCTTCAACGACTCATCCAGGAGGTCACAAAAGAACCCAGATGAACATCTAAAGAACTGCAGGCCTCACTTTCCTCAGTTAAGGTCAATGTACACGATTCCACAATAAGAAAGACGCTGGGTGAAAATGGCATCCATGGGAGAGCTGCAAGGCGCAAACCACTGCTGACCGTAAGAACACAAAGGCTCGCCTCGCATTTGCCATAAACATCTAGATGACCCCCAAGACTTTTGGGATAATATTCTATGGAATGATGAGTCAAAGGTGGAACTTTTGGAAGAGTCCCGTTAAATCTGCCGTAATGCTTACACCACATTCCACCATAAGAACATTATACCAACAGTGAAACAT